CCAAAGGGCACCCCACGCTGCAAGCAAGCCTCCTACCAGAAGGAAGTCAGCTTTACCCATTCAGTGGGATGAGAAGCGAGGTGCTGTCTCGGTCTCAGTACTGTGCTTATGCTGCTGCAACTACCACCACTTCTCCACACAGGTATCTCAAACACTCATTGTTCTTCATTCTTGATGGTAATGAGATTCTGCCTTCCTTCATATAAAATGGAATGGCAAAATTGACCTCCCTTACCTTAGCTTCTCACACCCTACTCGCTAAACTCTAGTCATTTGGCAGGAGTTATACTGACTGTGTGGAAAAGCCATACCAAGAAAGTCAATTGTGCCATACATCATTTTCACTAAGGAGTGAAAATTCTAGAACACGTCTCTTGAGTTTGGGCAACAGAATTTTCCTAATCTTTTTGTCCTGTAATTTTGCATAGTTTATTTTAAATCCACTCTTTTCCCTCAAATTTTACAATAAGCAGCAAGGAACAAGACCCTTTTATGATCATACTTAGAAATCTCTTCAGCCAAGTTTCTAAGTTCACCACTTCTAAGTTCCACCTCCCATTAAATATATGAACACAATTTAGCCAAGTTCTTTGCAACTGCATAAAAAGAATCACCCTTCTTCCAATATCAAACTGCACTAATCATTTCCTTTTAAAGTCTCACCAGCTGTACGATTAATGTCTACATTTTACTGACAGCATTACATGTATTCTCTCAGGGCAATAAAGACTTTTCTATAGCTCTGCTCACATTTTTCTGATCCCTTACCACAAGTCCCTTTGATGTCCACAATTCTTCCAGAGTCCCTTTGAAGCAACGCAGGGCCTTACTATTATCCAATTGTATCTATTATTCAAATCCAAAATTGCTTCCAAAGTCCCACCCAATTCTCTAGTACCAAATCCTGTCTTAGTTATCTAGTGCTGCTATAATCGAAATACCACAAGCAGGTGGCTTTACTAACCATAAATTTATTTCATCACAATTTACAAGACTAGAAGTCTAAATTGAGGGTCACACCTCTAGCAGAAGTCTTTCTCTGTTGACTGTAAAAAGGATTTGTGTGTCTTTTCAGGTTCTTTTTCCTGGTTTCATGGAAATGTGATTAATAATTCCTCATTGTTGCTTTATTGTGTTTTATGCTGCCTGCTTAATCTGCGCTTTTATATCTCAAAAAAGGTCAATTTGAAACATACCCCACACTAATTCTGCTTCATACAAATATCAAAAAAATCCATTTGCAAATGGCTTTATAGCTACTGGAATAGGAAGTCAGGATTTATAACACATCTTTAGTCAGAAAGTAAAAGGTAATACGTTTTTAGTTGCAGCATATGTAATTGCTTGGTATGTTTATTAGATGCATATGTGCCACACACAATGACCGCATAAATATACATTAACTAACCTAATTACTTACATAATACATTAGGAACTATTTAAGACCTAATTTTGATTAGCAACCATCAGCTCATTAGATATCAAGTCCACATTTTAGCAACATTTTTGCATAGTTTATTTTGAAAATATAGTAAAGCAGCTGCTTCTATTAAGAAACAAAATAATTCAGATCATTGTGACAATCAAGAATAATAAAAATAAACTTAATTACTCATAGTACTACTTGGCAATAAAAACAGAAGCATGAATATAATACATATGGTAACACTTTCCTGTTAATATCAATAAAGATATGAGAAACAACACAAGACAGTACATCTGCAGAAGTGATCATCACACAAGGTACTTCACAGGCCAGTATAAATCAAAGGAGTATGGATCTTTATAATTGAATAACTCTCAACACTGGCCGGTCCACAACTGTAGGGGTGAAATCTAACCTATCAATCAGGTCTTGCCTGATGCGGTCTCCTGGAGGGTATGGCCTTCCTACAAAGAGTTCTGGGGCCTACACTCTCTGCTACTTTGCTTTCCTGTCTGCTGAGCTGCCAGAGTCCTGCCAGGTTTCTACCAGCCTTTGATCCGCATGACTCTGACCCAATGTCCTGTGATCTTCTTGCACTCAGTCTCATTGCATGTGGCTGTGTAAGTCTGAAGAGGGATTTATGAACTAGTACCAGACTTATGGAGTTAGTTGGACTTGGTTTGGATTCTTTCTTGATATAGAATTTCTTCTTTATTATACACGAGTGTCAATAAATGTGTTTGTTTAGTCAACCTGGCCTAACACATCTATTTAGAAATAATAGATATTATAATCATACCATTGTCCTCCTTGTTCTGAAAGGATTTCTTAAAGAACAGTTGTATTGGCATATATTTCACATATCATACAATTCAGTAGTTCTATCATATTAGTAGCTGGAAAATCACCTCCACAACCAACTTTACGGCATTTACTTCCTTCCTTGTACCCATTGTCATTAGCTCCCCAGCTCCCCCTAACCTTCCCTGCCAAACCCCTCAAAAACCATCAGTGCAGTCACTGTCTTTATAGCTCTGTCTGTCCTGGATTTCATATTCAGAAAAACGGAAAACAAAAATAAAAAAAAACAAAACATCACCACCAAAAAAACCACTGCATGGTCTGTGGTCAGAAGGGATTGGTTCACTGTCCACTGGAGAGTTAATCCCTATGTGGATCCTGCGAATAAATTCTGGGTTCCAATGTCATCTGTAGTGCTATGAACCCCTCCTTCTTAGGGTCTGGATTTATCATGTATGATTTTTGGATCATACAGGCTGACAGGAATTTAAGGCTAGAGTTGGGTGAGAATAAGGAGGAGCAGAAAAACATTTAACTAGAAACATCTACTATGTGCTTTGAACTAGAAGGTGTCCTGGTGGCACAGTGGTTTTAGGCTGGGTAGCTGTCTGAAACCATCAGTCATGGATGTGCTTTCCAATCCAGTCAAGAGTTACAGTCTCTGAAACCCAGAGGGGCAGCTCCACCCTGTTCTGTATGGTTGCTGGGTAGGAATCGATAGTAAATCTAAGTTTTGTAACCAGAAGAATGGAAGATGTAATCTATACCCGGGAGAAGCTTCTAAATTTGAGGATCGAAGGAAGGGATCAAAAATGTCTACTTAAGAATAGGCTAATACAAAGGGCTACATGGTATGTTTCAATAGCCACTTACTCAATATTCATTATGTCACATAAAGGAATTTGTGTTCACTGGAAAAATTCTGAGGCCTGATGGTTCAATGGTTAAGCTACTGCTAATCAAAAGGTAAGAGTTTCAAACATGTAGGTGGTTCCACAAGATATGGCAACCTGTGTCCATAAAGATTCACAGCGGTGAATCTTGTCCTACAGGGTCACCATGAGGTGGAATTAATGAACTCAATAGCAATGTATGTAGGGTTTTTTGGGGGGTGGAATTTTTGCCTTCCAGGTTGGAGACCCGAGTTCAATTCCCAGCCAATGCACCCCATGGTATACTGGCTGGGAATTGTCAGTCAGTGAGTGGAGGCCTGCCTGTTGCTATTATGTTAACAAACTTGGTGGCAGCAAAGCTTCTAGACTAAAATGTACTTGGAAGGAAAGACTAAGAATCATTCTAAAAATCAGCCAATGAAAACCTTATGGATTACTTTGGTCGTTACATAATCTGGTGTGAATTTGAGACTATTAAGAGAGAAGGGGGAGAGTTTAGCCTATCAATCAGGTCTCAGCTTGATGACATCATGTGAAGGCACTACAGAGATAAATAGCTCACTGGAGACCAGACCAATATGGCCTCTGCTTCGTCTTCCTGTTGACAAGACACATGGAGCTATGCTGATGGCAGCCAGAGCCCTGGAGCTAGAGGAGCCAAGTGGAGACCCACACCAGTGCTAAGATGCTTTCACCTCCACTGGATCCACATGACTTACACCCACTGGTCTGTGATCTTCCTGCACTCAATGCCATTGCACTTGTTGCGTGAGTCTAAAGAGGAATTTACAGACTGGTATGGGGCATATGGGCTAATATCAGACGTAAGTACTTCAACTGGACTGGGTTGGGATGTTTTCTTACTGTACAATTGCTCTTTGATAAAAAGTTCTCTCTTACACGAGTATCTATGAATTTGGTTCTCTAGTCAGCCCTATCACAATTACAATAGTTTAATTTGGAGCCAATCATGGGTATGATGCAACACTAGGCAACACAGTGTCCTTCCACTGTGAATGGGATTGCCAAGACTCGGTGGTTGACTCAATGGTAGCTGAAAATATGTGCTAGCTACTGTAGATGGATAAACTCATTTATGCATTTAGGTAACTGTGAAACTACTAAGTGAAAGATGCTGTGCACTCCCATAAAGATTTAATCTCGGAAGTTCTAAATAGGATTGCTATGAGTCAGAATCCATTACATGATGGTGGATTTTTTCCCCCTTCTGTATCTTCAAGGTGTTCAAAAATAAGAAAAATGCATAACCTAAAACCTGTTTTCCCACCAATTTCACAATTCTAATATATGGCAGAACTAAAATTAGAGCCTAATCTATGATCTCAAGTAGCCAAGATATTCTGTTTAGTACTAATCTTCAAACTATATAGTAGGTGGAGTAAAATACCCTCATCAAATAATAAGTGAGAGATAAAATTTTTTAAAATATTTACTAAATGACTTTTTTTCCAGCAGAGAAGGCAACATATATAATACTATATTTACCTTTAAAATAGAATCTATTTATATTGAATTTACTGTATTTTAAAATGGTCAAATGTCACAAGTAGTCATCTTTCATCTGACTCACAGAGAAAAAGTGAAAAGAAAACAAATGAATTACGCTGCTTTCTCTCCCTACACATTTGGCTTTCACATATATACATTATGTTTAAAAAGAGTTAACACCAAATACACAGCCAAGGAAAGATCCATCACGCTTTAAAGAAGATAATCAGATGTCAAGCTTCTCCTTTACTACAATGGTGTTATGCACCATATAAATCTAGGGGGTGGGAGGGCGGGAAACCCTATTATTATGATGATGGCACTGGGAATAAAGAATTAAGGAATATTATAAAATTTGAGATATTACCTACCTCAGACATAGGAGTTCCCCAGAAATCATTCTGAAATAAAGTTTTTAAAGGTGTAGATGGATGTAAATCTTTATTATCCAGTATGGCTGAGACATCATCAAAGACAAATCCACAAAAAAGGCTGTTCCAATAGCAGGCAGTCACCAGGCTGACAATTAAGGTTACTTCTTTGAAATTAATATTAGCCATGTTTCCCGAAAGTACTCATGGAAAAACACTGGGGGGGGGGGGAGAGGAAATTATAGGGCATAAGCAACACATGTTTCCACCATGCAAACAGATCAGACTTTTGTAGACATAAAACAAATAAATAAGAATGTATTCTAGTTCTTCCAAAAGATCAGTTCTTGAAAGGTCAGCACAAAAATCAGGAAGCATTAGCTGACTATGTCTCCATATTACTAACCTAAAGCAAAACTGATTGCTTCTTTATGTGTTTTCATACCTCTAGTTCAGTATTTAAAAAAAATTGTTGTGGTGCAGTGGTTACGTACTTCACTTCTAACCATACAGCTGATGGTTTGAACCCCCAGAGCTGCTTCTGTCAGGCAGATGTTGCAGTCTGATTCCGTAGAGATTTAGAGCCTTGGATTTAGAACAGAGACTAGCTCTAATCTGTCCTGTAGGGTCACTGTATAAATTGCAAGCTACTCAATGGCAACAGACTTTAAAGTATTTCATTGTACCAGTTGATATTTGGGAGCCAAGGCTAACAGTATAAAATGCCATTTCAGTTGTCACAGCTTGCCTGGCACACATATAGTCATATATAGGCAGCCCTAAAAATACATGCACATGTATTTTTACATGATTCCAGGAGTATATAAATAAGTCCTGTGAGAAAATAGATAACTGAAAAGATTAATAGATCTTCTGAAATGTTAATGAAGCTTGTATCGGGATAGTTTATGTATCTAAAGAACAATTATTACCTAGTAAGTTAGAGGTTGGAACGTACAGCCCATAGCTTGTTCAGTTTAATCAAAGGTTTTTAACTAAAATCCAACTCTTTTCTATTGTCTTACACCTAACTTGGCTTATACATTTATATGAGGGGTACCCCAGAAATAACATAGGTAGGAATTTTAGATGAAACGTGTAAGCATTAAGCTAAGTTGTTTACAAATGATATTAGAATTTTTAAAAGAACTTAAGAATTACTTTAGTTTTACGTTGAATTTACTAGCTTTATAAAAGTTATTTCAGTATTAGAAAAGTTTTACTTATCAAGTCAGGCAGTCTAATCTTTAAATAAAAATGTGTACATTACATTTGTACATTTAGCTTTAAAGAAATTTAACCACATTTTAAATGTGCTAAGGGTGCTAAGTTAGTTACATGGGCATAAATATTGGGCATCCGATAACCCCTGAATACAAGGAAATAAAACGTGGTACAGTCAGTTTTGCAAACAGTTCCATCTAGTAATTGAAATACTCAACTCCAATATAATACTCAACAAGATGAACTTGATTTAATGTTAGGGATTCTCTTCTGCCAAGCTTAGATCACTGAAAATGAAAATGCTGCTGTCATGGAATGGGGCTAAAGTCCAGTCTTTTCTCTCCCAGATACAATACCTTTTATTTTTGTTAATCATACTTCAACCCAGTTAGGTTAGAGTGAATGGAAAGGGAAATGAATAGAAGAACAACAACAAAATAAAGCTTACTCTGTTACAATCTAAACTGAGACTCTCAAAGGTGTTTAAGGATTCCATGACAACAACAAAAATAATTGGAGACTTACCTCAAGTTCTTTGTATCTCTCTATCTGCTAGCTGGTAATAATGCCAGCTTTCCTTTGCTGAGGTCTATTTACAATAACCTTCCTCCAATTTCTGCACCTCTAGGTGTTCTTTTGGAACAGACATAAGATACTCCACAGCTGAGCACATATCCTACACTAGAACTAGCTCTCCTGTCATCCAGATTAAGCTTCCTTACGAAAATTTGAAAAATTCTACTATCTGAGCCCTCTGCAGGTGAACAAGTCAAAATTTAAGTAATCACCATGTTTGTCAATGAGGAGCTAGCTGTCATTCAGTGGGTGGCATTGCACAATACACACTATTCATGCTTATTCCCTTCCTACCAGTAATGTCGCCTCGCTACTTGACCACTAAAGTAAAAATGTGCACTCATATGTTGTGGACTAGCAATTAGGGCTGGGGTGGAACGGTCCTGCTGCTGGTCTGGAGTAGGCCCCCTCCCATTGCTGCAGTGACCACCTGTCTTGACGAGGGCTGGAGATTCTGAAAGACGTCTCCTGTGGAACGCTCGTCTCCACTCAGTCACATTCACCAGAAGGCCAGCCGAGGCTTCTTTAAAGGATCTTAGAGCAAACAGGTAAGTCATAGTGTAGAAACTGTTTGTTTCTTGAAACAAAGAAGCTTGTTTACTTGTTTTTGTTTTACTATCAGTCAACCAAGTTAAATTGAGAGTCACTGTCTGATGGGCTCTAAAGAGTCAAGGCAATAGAACTTTCGAAGATTCCCCCAAACCAAAACCCACTGCATTGAGCTGGTTCCATTTCCTAACAACTATATATGATGCAGAGCGAAACTATGTATCTCATCACATCCGTGATTTGCTTTTTCATACTCTCAGCCAGGTTTTGAACAAAGGATTACAACTTATAAATCCAAATACCTACATCTAGCAACAATACCCTTTGATTGAAAATTATGCAATTACATATAAAATTAATTTAAGATGCAAATTGAACTATTTCATCATCAGGAATGCTTCCAATTACTTTTGGTATATATTCTGCTTTTTAAAAATATTATTAGGAGATTGAATCTTCGAGATTGTCTATATTATCCTCTTTCATATTTAAATATTTTATTTTACTGTGTTCTCAAATAATTGATCAAATTTATTTCTTTTCATGATACCAATGCCCTGAAACCTTACTGGAAGCAGAATTCTTTACAAGTTTTCTAGTACTTCTTTGAGAAAAAAAAAACTATTGGCATATGATTTACCTAAGGCCCAGATTAATTTCATACTGCAATGCCACTCATGAGTAAAGATATAAAACTTAATACAAGTTCTTCAACACAATTGAGTGTTCACTCATTCTAATGATCCAGTAGTTATTCTAGTATAATTGTGGGTAAAAAACAAACCTGAAAAAACTTTATATGAATCTGGGAATATTTAGATTAAAAAAGAATGTGAATGATTCGATTATTAAATCAGTTCAATTAATAAGAGTAATCTACTATCTTCTACTTTTATAGTTTACAGACCTGTGGCCTGCTAACTCTTGATCTCTGCATTTGTGGCGACTCCTACTAATCTTTCCAGTCTCCTCATGTTGAAAACAGACATGTGACAGCTTGCTACCAACTCATCTCTCTCCATGAGAACGGAGGGAAAATAAATCATTTATTATAAATAGTCGATATTAAATTTCTTATGGCCAGGCATTATAATGTTATCTTGAGCAAATGAGAAATGAGCAAACATTAATTTTTCTGGCATGGCAGCAAAAAGTGTACGGAAATCTCATTGAAGGACTAAGCTGACTGGTACCGAGAAGAGAGGTAGCAATTATAATCGGCCAGTCTTTTTTTGGTGAAGTGATTTTTGTCAGATAAAGCTGCTCGTAAAGGCGTAGGGAAGGAAGAAGGCACGTCTGGGCTAGTAGTGTTCCTTTACATGGACATTTATGAAACTGAAACATAAATCACTGCTTTTGGTAAAATAACTAGTGAAGAAAATTTGGTGAAAAATAGGAGTGATTGTCCTCAAAATTAACCAGTGAGTGAGTGGACTAGCGGCTGAGTTTAAATTTCCTGATTATAGTCAGAAACAAAGCCTATAGTGCGTAGAACCTAGACCAGTGGTTCTCCACCTTCCTAGTGCCGACCCTTTAATACAGTTCTTCGGGTTGTCGTGACCCCCGACCATAAAGTTATTTTCATTGCTACTTCATCACTGTAATTTTTCTACTGTTACGAATCAGGTGACCCCTGTGAAAGGGCTGTTTGACCCCCAAAGGGGTCGCAACCCACAGGTTGAGAACCGCTGACCTAGACCATTGTTTCTTTTGTACACCCAGTACTGAAGAAAATGTACGACTTCAAGCTTATTGTTAGAATGAGTTAAATAATGTAATATAAGTATGATTTTGATTTCAGTCAGGCTCTGTGATAAAATATATTCTTTATCAAAATATTGGAAAATGCATGAATAATATGCACATAAAACTTAAAAAACAGGAGGAAAACATTTATTTCATCTGAGCCATTTTTTACTTTTGAAAAATGAGAGCAAACTTACGCCAGTCACTTTGAGGTGCTGAGAACATACATGTGAACAAGAAGAGGTGGAAAATAGAGCAGACCACACTAATACAAACAAGTAGAACAAAACTAGTAAACTAATGTAATAGGAGTTATAATGAATGTTTGGACAACAAGCTGTTGCAATAAAAACTAACAGATTCTGTTTATGAAAATAAACATGCAATTATATGACATTAAACGAGTCCAATAAATATTAAATTGTACCTCTAAGTCACCATTAAATTATGAATTTAAAACAATGAACATGAATGATAATTTAACTTCTTGAGTACATAAAATTACACAATTAGAAGAACCCGCACTTTATAAATAATGACTCCCAGTGTGCCTGAAAAGGCAGTTTACCAAGTAAGAGTACGTCTTCCCGTCAGAAATATGGCTGTCCGTTCAACCAACCACATTATTTTAAGTAAGTTTGAGCTCACCAAGCTCCAGTCTTTCAAACTTGGTTGGAAACAGAGGGCATATAATTACATATTTCATTGGATTCCTATAACAATCGAGATAATTGGGGGTTTTTTTGCACATATTCTTTCTGTAAAGGATTTGATGTCTTTAAACGTATCTCACAATATCACTAGCTGTTTTTATTTACTACTGATCTAATTTTTGCTCTGACCCAGTTAGGTGGTTTAGATAAAATTCAGCATTTATTTTTAAAAGAAAAAAAATAACTACCAGTCATTAAAAAAGGGAGAAGTTCTAGTTCACACAGTTGGAACTAACATTTAGATTTCAAGTCTATTACTCCAGAACAGCCCAGAGCAAAATGAATAGAAGTAATCGTGGCAATCACCTTTCAAAGGGCAAACTCAAAAAGGAAACTCACTGCCGCAACTCAGGCAGACCCTAAAGGGCAGGGTAGAGCCGACACCGGCTTTCCGAGATGGTCAATCTTCACTGGATTGGAAGGCCTCGTCTTTCTCCCACAGAGCAGCTAGTGTTTTCGAACTGCCAACCTTGTGGTTGGTGGGCCAACACATAACCAACATACCACGAGGGTAACACCGGGCCTCTTGGCAATCAAGTGAATACCGCTTCCCCAGCACCCCCTCACTTTTGGCCTGGATGATCCCTAACCTTTCCTAATTATCTACACACCTTTTTCTCCGCAGTTCCTCAACCACGGGGCCGTGCAGGCACCAGGAAAGGGTCTGACATTAGGGCCCGAAGGGTCGGGGAACGCGGAGCCTTCTGAATGCCTTCCTAGTCCCCAAGCTAACACCTCAGCTGCACCGCCCCCACTCTATGGCTGGAAGGCAGATTCTGATGCCAAAGAAGGCAAAAACTTTTCTTTTTCCCTTTCAGAAAGCACCACCTTGGTCACCACCTACACACCGCCGGGCTCTCAGGAGCCCTCTTCAGACTCACCCGGGCGGGGCATGTCTTACCCAGATGGAAGAGCTCCGGTAAACCGCGACCGCACCCCTGCAGCCCTCCCCCGCGGTCGGCCCACTCGCACACCCGTACCTGGCTGCTTAGGGGAACCTCCGGGAGAGCAGTCCGGTGAAGGACGCCACCGAACCTACAGTCATGATCTACCAAGCGCAGGCCACCAGCACCTCCGGCACCGCACCTCCGCCCTCACGGTCCCAGCCCAGCAGCCCCGGTAGAGGCGCAGCCCCCGCACTGCACGCTGGGAACGCCCTCTCTCTAAAACTTCAGCTCCCGGCATACACGCAGGCCTCCGAGAAGAACTGCACGCTGGGATTTGTAGTCTCCACTCCACGCCTTCTCCAGGGCTTTTAACATCAAGTCTAAGTACCCCCGTGGGAGACTGTGAACGTAAAGCATGACTCATTGTCGTGAAATGTAGGCTGCTTGTGCATCCGGGGCCTTGCATTAGCCTTGGCAGGGTGGGGAATGGTGTCGCTTAGCAGCCACTGCCGCTATTGCTTGTTCGGACCACTTGGCTGGACCGGGAGTCCGTGGGAACTACTCTTGGGAGCGATCTGGGCCCAGCGGCGGGGCATGTTTTCATGGGTGCGGTAAATGAGGGGACGCTGCTAATTGCCAGGTTTGGTCTGTGTAGGTGGCTCCCGGTAAGCGGTGAGCGAGACCTGGGAGTTCCAAACGCAGGTTCTTTGGCCTCAGGGCCCTTGTGCAACACGCAACTTTCCCGACCCTTCTATTCTGGCCAGCGATTCTTCCGCCTTTTTTGCTTCAGTCTCCCGGTTTACCCACCCTCTCCCCACCCCCCCCCCACCAGTTTCCCTGCCCCTATTCTTTCATCTTCACCAATTATCTACACACCTTTTTCTCCGCAGTTCCTGCTTCTCAGAATCGGGCATTTTTAGCCTTCACTGCGCATCAGCCACTGGGACTCTTAGATGTGTTCATAAACTGGTGGTAAAAGGGGTGGGGGAGAAGACGCAGAATCTTACCTTGGACTTGGATCAATTTTAGCAGGGAAACCATCTGTATTGAACAGGTACAATTGTTCTGACGATTTTAGTCAAATGTCATAATTTTGCTCGAGGTTATTTTACTCATTTATTACCTACCTGGTTTCCAGTTTGTCCACTTAACAGTTTAAATATTAAGCAGCAAAATCTCTGCCAACAACCTCATACATCAAAAAATACAGTTTTATTGAGTAAATGTTAATGTCACTTTGGAAATGATAATGTTTACTTTGGAAACCTTGTTTTGTTACAGAAGGTAAAGCACGGTAAACGAATTCAAGATGCCTCCTAATATAAACTGGAAAGATATCATGAAAGTTGACCCAGATGACCTCCCTCGGCAAGAAGAACTGGCAGATAATTTGTTGGTTTCCCTATCCAAGGTGCTTAATAGATAAATGACACGTTTACACACACACATACACACACACACACACACACACACACAATGCCATCTAGTGTAAGATAGAGACCCTGTCAGACAGAGAACTGCTCTTAGGGTTTCTGAGACTAAATCTAGTGGTCACCATTGGGCTGCGTAACTGCAAGGTCAGCAGTTCGAAACTACCATCCTCTGTTCGGACAAAAGACCAGGTTTTCTACTTCTGTGAAGAGTTACAGTATCAGAAATCCACAGAGGAGATTCTGTCCTGTCCTGTAAGGTCCATGTGTGTTGACTGATGGCAGAGTTTGATTTGTTTCTTTGGGGAGCAGACAGCCTCATTCCTTCTCATTCATAGAGGCTGGTGAACAGGGGTTAGCAGCTCAGTTCCAGCAGGGGTTCTTTTTTATATATGTGTCTATAATATTAATACTTAAATTTATGTATTTATATGTAGTACTTCAAGGAATTCATAGAAAAATTCCATTTTTCCACAAACTTTATGAAACTCTATTACATGTTTATGTATATATTATATATAGTATTTGTGCAGCTGTATTTAATTAAGTTGTCACTGAAATTATTGAACCGTAGAATGGAAGAGTTCTTATATTTAATTAAGGGTTATAAAATGACACAAAGTTGTTTATTTATTCACTTAGGTGGAAATAAATGAAATAAAAAATGAAAATCAAGATAGTTTGGTACACCTTTTCAGAGTTACTCAGTCACTAATGAAGGTTTGTATTAAATAATTATTTTTGCTATCTTCAATAGGATAATATAAATAAAAGACGTTGTAAAATCTAAATTACCATGGAAAAAAAATCTTCATATGTAGATTTAGAGCATTAAGTCTCCAAAGCATTAGTTGTTCACTATATGAGTTGGAATTGGCTTAACGGTAGTGAGTTTGACTCTAATGTTCCTGAATGTACAGGGAACGGGGGCACGCTCAAATGTAACATACATCTGTGTAAGAAGAATTTTTTTTAAGTTTATGGAAATCTCTTAAAGGATGAGGACTAATAATTCATTTAAGGTAGTTAGAGGGAAATGGCCAGATGACATGGAGATTTTAGAAGTTGGAGTTATTGTAAATTAAGATAAGAGAAAATATGTTTATTTATACATGAGATTACCCTAGGAAGTGGGTTACCGGTTGTAAAAGAAAGAAACATTGGTGGGTGATTCTCCAATAGGCTTAAAGAAAGTTTTATAATATGAACAATGAAGTGAGTAAATATTTTTGAGCCACAATTGGCAAATGCAAAAATATGCCCAAGAAATCTGGTTTTGATCTACAGTATGAATTGTAGGGAATTGAAGTTAGGCAGAACATTATGGACTGGAATAGAGACAATTGAAATTGCAAATCAGACACAGTGAAAAGTTTTAAAAGAAAACATAAATCTTGAAGATAAATCTTGAGAGGAAAAAGAAGGCATAAAGATGTTTCCAACCATTTAGAATCTAGAAATTACCATCTTTGTTAAGAAAATCACTCATTTTTTCAATAAATATGTACTGCATATCTCCGTGTGCCATGCCTTGGGGGCCTTGAGAGGTGAAACAATGAGACAATATTTTTATTCTTGGTACATATATTTAATGTTAAGATATACTGAGATCATCCCTTTTTTTAATGTTTAGATGAAAGCTCAAGAAGTAGAGCTAGCATTGGAAGAAGTTGAAAAAGCTGGAGAAGAACAAGCAAAATTTGGTATGTGTTTGGGAAAAAAGGTTAATTATGGTATTAAATAAAAGTTTCTGTCTGTTCAACAAGTACTAAAAATAAGATCTAATATATTCTGCAAAACGTGAATGTTCAATTTATTTTTTAAAGTATTTTCAATAAGTCCTAATTTTTAGATCTAGTTTATAAGTTACTTTTATATTGCTCTGATGTCATCATCCATTTGGAATCATAAACTTTATCTTATTGACATTCATTTAAGTTTAACAAGCTAAAGCTAACCAATTGAATTGCTTTTCTTCCTCTCAAATAGAAAATCAATTAAAAAGTAAATTAATGAAACTGGAAAATGAATTGGAGGTATGTCCTTTTGTATTTCTTATACTGTAATTCCACTAGGTGGTGTCGTCTTTTCTTACTGTGATAACTTGCTTGCTGCTGGTATGCCAGAAGACAAACTATAATTATTTCAAATACCAACAGGGTCACTCATGATGAACGGGTTTCACTGAAACTCCCTGATGAGGAACCGATTAGGAAGAAGGAATAGGTTGTCCAGTTTGGGTGGGCTATCCACTAGAGAACCTTAAGAATAATGACAAACTCTTTTTTTTTTCACAAGGAGAAGCCTAGCTTCCCCACTCTAACCGGAAGTCTCGACAAAATCTTTTAAAAAA